AGAGGAATGGCATGGCATTCATTGTCACAAAGAATGTTTCAAGGTCTGTCCTGAAGTATAATGCTGTCAGTGATAGAATAATGTCCTTATGCCTACAAGGAAGACCAGTCAATACTACTGTTATTCCAAATGTTGCACCAACTACCAAAGACAAAGATGAGGAAATTGAAGATTTTTACCAACTTCCACAGTCTGAAGTTGACCAAACATGCAATCAAGATGTGTTTATTATTGGTGACTGCAATGCAGAAGTTGGAAACAAAGAAGGATCACTTGTTGTTGTTGTTAAGTGCCGTCAGGTCATTTCCGACTCATAGCGACCCCATGCACAGCAGAACGAAACACTGCCCGATCCCGCGCCAGCCCCACAATCCCTGCTATACTTGAGCCCATCATCACAGCCACCGTATCAATCCATCTTGTTGAAGGCCTCCCCCTCTTTCATCAACCCTCCACCCTACCAAGCATGACATCCTTCTCCAGGGAACGGTCCCTTCTGACAACATGACCAAAATAGGTGAGACGAAGTCTGGCCATTCTTGCTTCCAAGGAGCATTCTGGCTGCACTTCCTCCAGGACAGATCTGTTAGTTCTTTTAGCAGTCCATGGTACTTTCAGCATTCTTCGCCAGCACCACAACTCAAAAGCATCAACTCTTCTTCGGTCTTCCTTATTCATTGTCCAGCTCTCACATGCATACGAGGCAATTGGAAATATCATGGCTTGTGTCAGGCGCACCTTAGTCCTCAAGGAGATATCCTTGCTCCTCAGCACTTGAAACAGTTCCTTCGCAGTTGACTTTCCCAGTGCTACACGTCATCTAATGTCCTGACTGCTGCTTCCGTTGGCATCGATTGTAGAACCAAGCAACGTGAATTCCTTGACAACCTCAATCTTCTCTCCGCTTATTGTGATGCTGCTCATTGGTCCAGTTGTGAGGATTTTTGTTTTCTTTATGTTGAGATGTAATCCATACAGCAGACTATATTCTTCAACCTTCATCAGTAGGTGCCTTAAGTCATCCTCACTTTCAGCAAGCAAAGTTGTATCATCTGCATATCTCAGGTTGTTAATGATTCTTCCTCCAATCCTGATACCACGTTTTTCTTCATATAGTCCAGCTTCTCGGATTATTTGCTCAGCATATAGATTGAAGAAGTGTGGAGAAAGAATACAACCCTGACGCACTCCCTTTTTGAGTTTAAACCATGTAGTGTCCCCTTGTTCTGTTCGAACGACAGCCATTCAAGGTACAGGTTATTGATGAATATAGTCAAGTGCTCGGGAATTCCCATTCTTCTCAATGTTATCCATAATTTGTCATGATCCACACAATCAAATGCCTTTGCATAGTCAAGAAAACACAAGTCAACATCTTTCTGGTATTCTTTGCCTTGGGCCAAGATCCATCTGACAACAGCTATGATATCCCTTGTTCCATGTCCTCTTTGGAATCCGGCTTGAACCTCTGGAAGTTCTCTGTCAATAGACTGCTGCAAAAGTTTCTGAATTATCTTCAGTAAGATCTTACTTGCGTGCGATATTAATGATATTGTTCTATAATTTCCACATTCTGTGGGATCACCTTTCTTTGGAATGGGCACAAATATGGATCTCTTCCAGTCAGTTGGCCAGGTAGCTGTCTTCCAAATCTCTTGGCATAACTGAGTGAGTGCCTCCAATGGGGCATCTCTTTGTTGAAATATCTCAATCGGTATGCCATCAATTCCCAGAGCCTTGTTCTTTGCCAGTTCTTTCATTGCAGCTTTGACTTCTTCCTTCATTACCATTGGTTCTAGATCATATGCCACTTCAAGGATCACTGGTAGATGGAAAATATAGTCTTGGTGATAGAAATGAAACTGAGGATCACATGCTAGAATTTTGGAAGACCAATAACTTACTCATTGCAAATGCCTTTTTTCAACAACACAAATAGCAGCTATACAAAGTGGACTTCACCAGATGGAATACACAGGAATCAGATAGACTAAATCTGTGGAAAGAGGCAATGGAGGAGCTCAATATCTTCAGCAAAAACAAGGCCAAGATCTGATTGTGGAACAGACCATCATATGCAAGTTCAACTTGAAGTTGAAGGCAATTAAAACCAGTCCACGGGAGCCAAAATATGACTTTGATTATATCTCTCCTGAATTTAGAGACCATCTAAAGAATAGATTTGATCCAGTGAACACCAATGACTAAAAACCAGAGGAATTGTGGGATGGCATCAAGAACACCACCCATGAAGAAAGCAAAAGGCCATTAGAAATATGTGAAAGAAAGAAAAGACCAAAATGGATGCCAAAAGAGACTCTGAAACTTGCCTTTGAACAAAGAGTAACTAAAGCAAATGGAAGAAATGACAAGATAAAAGAGTGGAACGGAAGATTTCAAAGAGCAGCAGGAGAAGACAAAGTCAATTACTACAATGAAATGTGCAAAGACCTGGAGTTAGAAACCAAAAGGGAAGAGCACACTCAGCATTTCTCAAGCTGAAAGAACTGAAGAAAAAATTTAAGCCTCGAGTTTCAATATTGAAAGATTCTGTGGACAATACATTGAATGATGCAGAGAACTTCAAAAAGAAGAGTGTACCAAAAAGAACTGGTTCATCCATTTCAGGAGGTGGCATATGACAAGAATCAATGGTATTGAAAGAAGAAGTCGAAGTTGCAGTGAAGGAATTGGCAAAAAACAAAGCTTTAGGAATTGATGGAATACCCATTGAGATGTTTCAACAAACAGATCCCATGCTGGAGGCACTTACTAGTCTATGCCAAGAAATTTGGGAGACAGCTACCTGGCAATTAACTGGAAGAGATCCGTATTTGTACCCATTCCAAAGAAACATAATGCCACAGAATGTGAAAATTATTGAACAACATCATTAATATCACATGCAAGTAAAATCGTGCTGAAGATAATTAAAAAATGGTTGCAACAATATATTGACAGAGAACATCCAGAAATGCAAGCTGGATTCAGAAGAGGACATGGAATGAGGGATATCATTGCTGATGTCAGATGGATTTTGGCCAAAAGCAGAGAATACCAGAAAGATGTTTACTTGTGTTTTATTCACTGTGCAAAATCATTTGATTGTGTGGATTATAACAAATTGTGGATAACATTGAGAAGAATGGGAATTCCAGAACACTTATTGGTACTTATGAGGAATCTGTACCTAGACCAGGAAACTGTCATTTGAACAGAACAAGGAGATACTGCATGGTTTAAAATCTGGAAGGGAGTGTGTCAGGGTTGTATCCTTTCATCATACTTATTCAATCCGTATACTGAGCAAATAATCCGAGAAGGTGGACTATATGAAGAAGAACATGGCATCAGGATTGGAGAAGGACTCATTAACAACCTGCCATATGCAGACAACACAACTTTGCTTGTTGAAAATGAGGATGATTTGAAGCACTTACTGATGAAGATTGAAGAATACAGTCTGCAGTATGGATTACACCTTACTATAAAGAAGACAAAAATCCTTACAACTGGACCAATAAGCAGCAGCACGGTAAATGGATAAAAGATGGAAGTTATCAAAGATTTAATATTACTTGGTTCTATAATCAACACCAATGGAAGCAGCAGTCAAGCATCAGAGGACATATTGCAATGGGCAAATCTGCTGCAAAAGACTTCTTTAAAGTGCTGAAGAGCAAAGATGTCGCTTTGAAGACTAACATGCAGCTAACCTAAGTCATGGTGTTTTCAATCACCTCATATGCATGTGAAAGCTATACGGTGAATAAGGAAGACAGAAGAAGAGTTGATGCTGCTTTTGAGTTGTGGTGTTGGAGAAGAATACTGAAAGTACCGTGGACTGCTAAAAGAACTAACAGATCTGTCCTGGAAGTACAGCCGGAATGGAATGCTCCTTGGATGCGAGAATGGTCACACTTCATCTGACCTATGACCAACTGCTTGTTGTGAGGACATCCAAGCATGGGGGAAGACCTGAGGTCTCCCAACCACAACCAGCTCCACCTGCCAGCCACCCTGGCAGCATATTGTCCAGCTCCAGACAAATCTTCAGATAACTGCAGCCCTGTCTTACAGCTGATAGTAACCTCAGGAAAAACCCTAAGCCAGAATCACCCAGCCAAACCACTTCCAAGTGCTTGACCTGCCACTAAATTTCAGATGATTTGTTTCACAGCAATAGATAAACTGAATTTCTGGTGAACTGTGTCATATGGGTTATGGGTGATTCTGATCAAATAGAGAAGTGTTAGGGACTTAATGAGGCACTGAAAGCAAAATATTTTATTGCTTCTCATCAAAGAAATTGAATTTCAAGTTAACGTTTGAAAGCTTGTACAACTTTGAAATGAGTTTATTCTTAATGCTTTTCTAAATGACCTGTTATCCAAAGAAAAGCACGCTTTACTACTGAGTGCATCTGCATCGCTGATGAGCAAGGCTCTATAAAGTTATCTAATAGCAGAGAGTCATCTCATGGCCCCACTTTCAGTGTCGCCTTTAATTCCTTTGAGTCTCTGGACCACCTGCCATTTGGGAAATTCGGTACAGAGGGAAAAAATGAAAGACATTAATTAGAAAGGGAAGAGGAAACTCTTGGGATGTTGGGAGCAGAGATCTTAAGACTATTTGTTAAACATCAGCTTCGACAGCCTTTGGGAAGCTGAACTTAGACCTCTTTTCCTGGTGCACCCACCGACTTAAGATCACCCCTAAAAAAAAAAATCCGCACATGTTCTCAAGAGCGCAGGAGAGGATCTTGGCGAAGGAGAGGCTCCTTGGCTGCTGGGAGAGCTGCATAGGGGATCACACCAGCTCTTTGGCCCATTTCCCGCGAGCTGGGGGAAGCCAAGCCCGGACCCAGAGTCCGAGCTAAAGGCGGGGCGCCTTTGCGCGGGGCCAGAGAAGACCAGAGGTGGGAGCGCAGGCGGCGCGCCTCGCCCGCCTGCTGCAGCCGAAGCCGAGCGCGCACGGCCCTAAGCGCCGGCGCCTCCAGCATGGAGTGGGAGCTGAACTTGCTGCTCTACCTCGCGCTCTTCTTCTTCCTGCTCTTCTTACTTTTCCTCCTGCTCTACGCAGTCATCAAGCAGCTGAAGAACTCCGTGGCCAGCACGGCTGGAGCGCTCCAGCCTGGGCGCCTCTCGCTGCACCGGGAGCCTTGGGGCTTTTCCCGCGAGCAAGCGGTGTGACGCCCCCGAGGTGGGCGCTCGGATCCAGCGCTCGCCGGGGCTCCCGGGGCGCGACTTGGCCCGGCAAGGCGCAGCAACTGGCGGGAGGTCTGGAAACCGAGCCAGCTAGGGGCAGGGTGTTGGCCTCGCTCCTTGGTCTACGCTGCCGCCCAGGTTCCAGGTACTCAGCTCCGCCGGGGCTCTGGCAGACTCATCCGGCGCAAGAAGACCAGCGGGGCGATTGTCTCCGCTCCTTCGAAAGGCTCAGGGCTTGCTGCACGCTGAAGTGTCAGGGACAGGGATGTTATGGGGTCTATCCTGGATCTGTGGTCTTCTGGAGGCACTCCAAGCTTTTCCTGGGAGGAGGAGAAATGGAAAAAAGGGGCAAGTTTGAACTTTGAAGCAAGATTGATTTTGGAGATCTGTATGCTCTCCATTTCAACACACCTGCAATTTAGCTTGTACTCAATGGATAAAATGTAAATTTTTCGGATAATTCAGCCCAATCTCTTTCAAATTAATTGAATGTCAACCTAAATATACAAATTGCTGAGAAAGAGTGTGTGCATTGGGACCAAGTTTGGGGGTGCACTTGAAGTACTCCAAATATTGCTTGAAATATTTTTGTGCTCTAGTAGACCGTCTTAAAAAGTTCATGGGATTTGACTGGCTGTGCAGAGGAGCGGGAATATAGTGGCCCATTTTCTATGGGGAAATTCTTTCTTTCGCTTGGCCCTATTCTAGCCACCATCTGGGTCCTGGGTGGGTTTAGAATCTGAAACAGCAGAAGAGTGAGCATTAGAGTAAAGGTCTCTGGAAGATGCCTTTGTTGCCCAGTGTGACCTTTTGGGTGATGGCAAGGAGCTTAGGCTAAAACAAGTATTGTTTGCACAATGTAGACAAGAGGAAAGAAGAGGATGGGAGGAGTGGGTCTTAGTTCAGGTTAAATGATTAGAGCCTTTAGGGGTAGATTGACAGTCAAGAGTAAAACTTCTCACCAGTGTGCCAAAGAACCCTCTGGCCAATGTTAGTTTTGGATATAACAACTGCATCTTCCAGATGCTTTTTCCTAGATTTATGTCAACATTGGACATTCTGGAGCTGAGCTGCTGCCTTGGCTACTGCACTGAGGACCACAGCTGCAGTTACAACCTCGAACTAGGAAAGAAAAGGCTGGAGCAACAGGAGTTTGATGAAGCTTCCTGAAAATGGTAAGCTGGGACCATCCATGGCTTCACTCCTTCTGTCTGTGGGTAATTTCTGAAGATTCATGTCTAAAAAAGTGAAGGATTAGCACGGGGAAAGTCATACAGTGACGTAAAGACTCTCTCATACTCAGAAGGATGAACTTCTATTGGAACCAAGAAGCTGACTTCTAATTTTGTGCAAGAATTAGTGCCTAGTTAGAAGATCATGGAAATTAGAAGGGGATATGAGACATGCTTATAATTTTAATAATCATTCTGCTCTTTTGGAAAACAGTGCAGGGATTCTTATAGTTGAAATACGTAATGCAGATATATTTTGCCACCAATTGATTATTTTATAAGGTTAGTGTTTTAGAAAGAGTCCTGGTGGCATAGTGGTTACAGCACTTGTCTACTAACCAAAAGGTCAAGAAAAACCCACTAACCATTCTGTGGGAGAGATGTGGCAATCCGCTTCTGTAAAGATTTACAGCCTTCAAAACTCTATAGGGCAGGTCTACTCTGTCCTGTTGTTGTTGTTATGTGTGGTGAAGTCAGATCTGATTCATAGCAACCCCTCCTTGGGTTTCCCAGGTGGTATCACTACAGGAAGTAGATTGCCCAACCTTCCTTCCCAGGAGTGGCTGGTGGGTTTGAACTGCCAGCCTTCTGGTTAGCAGTCAAATGCCTTAGGCACTATGCTGTAGGTCGCTATAATTCAGAACTGAATCTACTCCATGGCAGTGGGTTTGGTTTTCTGGTTAGTCATGTTAGAATGGGATAAATTGACTAATTGTAGGCACAAAGAAAGACTAAGGCTAAAAACAATGAAATACTAAGTGCTACCTAGGTTGATAATACAAAAGTGAAGTGGAAGACAACTATGTTGATAATTCAAGAGAAGGAAAATTAATCTCACTTAGGTGAATACTTATGGAGAAAGTTTGGCCTGAGTTATTTCCCACATTTTCAATTTATTTTCCTGGACAAACTGTTTCTTAATGAAATAAGTGGTTTGTTTTAAATGTAACACTGTGCACAAATTCTTATTTTTATATACTTCTTTATCAGAACTGTATAGTAAGACTTGATTTGAGTTCCCAGTTGGAATTCCCAGAATCAATTGCGGTGATTTTGTACTGTACTTTGAACAATAGTTCTCTAATTGGTTAACACCTCTGCAATAGTGTTTAATTATGGGATTGTATGCAATCCTACTTCCGCAGTGATAACTGCCTCGGAAACCCAAGGAGGGGTCGCTAGGAGTCGGCCTGACTCGATGGCAAACAACAACAACAACATGGTTAATATGGACATTAAAGATGAGTGTGCAATTAGTTAGCAACTATAGTTATTTACAAGGATGGAAAACAATCATACTTTATAAATATCATACTTTATAAAAATTGTCCTTTATAAACATCCAGAATGGAAATTATTTTAACCATCTTGGCTCCTTGTTTATGTAATTCTTTAATCTTCCTGGCAGCTGCATAGCATCTAGAGGTGTGACCCATCTCTGACTTTTCCCTGACAGGTCAATATAGACAACTCAGAGTGAGTAGTTTGCTGGCATCTCAGTATTAACTCATTCTCTTGGTTCATTCTACTGCACTGGATTCCTAAGAAATGAATGATTGTCTTACTAACTACTATCCAGTTGCCATTTTATAACCTCTTGGTAATCCAATTAGTTGGCTAACATGATCACTAATAACTAAAAGATTGGTGGTTTGAGTCCATTCAGAGGCACCTTAGAAGAAAGACCTGGTGATCTATATCTGAAAAATGAGCCATTGAAAACCTTATGAAGCACAATTCTACTCTAACATGCATGAGGTTGCCATAAATTGGAATTGACTGATGGCAATGGATGGTAACTCTAATTAGTTAGTTACTGAGTTCCCAGAACAAAATACAAAACAGTTGCTATCAAGTTGACTCCAACTCATGGCGACCTTGTGTGTGTCAGAGTAGAACTGAGCTCAATAGAATTTTCAGTGGCTGATTTTTTGGAAGTAGAGTGCCAGGCCTTTCTTTCAAGGTGCCTCCGGGCAGACTCAGACATCCCTGAGTGGTACAAACAGTTAACAAGCTGTTAATTGAAAGTTTGGAGATTTGAGTTCATCCAGAGGAGCTGACTCCAAGGCAAGCTGTTATCCAGGCAACAATGAAACTTTAGTTCTATTACCCAACCCCTGCCTGGAACCTGGCCCTATAATCTGAATTAAGGTTCCTCACATCTATTCCCAGAACATGCTGCTGTTGGTCTCCTGCCTTGCCCTGGCTTTGTTAGAGACACCTGCATGTGAGCTGTATTTTTCTGTTCATTTATTCAATCATTATTTTTCCAAGAGCCTGCATAGACTGATGTCCCAAATTAGAACTACTTTTGAACTCACTTTTTGACTACCTGTATAAATTCTTGGCCTTGATCTAATGTTCTGACACTCACAATGGGTCAGTCTAGTATCCAGGCTTTTGTATGTTGGCCGCTCCCTCTGCTGACCACACCCTGGTTCTGACAATTAGTATGCCAAGTCTATGTAAATAAGAGCTAGACATTAATTCATTTGAAAACTGCACTTGAAATTGGAAACATTTAAAATAACTGCTCATTATAGAAATGTAATTTGATTCTGGAAGATATCTATGTATTTTTTAATTGAAGGTTTTTAGGACTCTTCAGCAGAATTGAATTTCTCACATTATATGGAAATGAGCCATATTAAATTATTAATAATATTAGTATTTCATTTCAAATTTTCCCATTTCTTTGTTGTTTCTAAACTTCAGCTGCTAAAGCAACCTCAGAGCTTGTTAAGAAGACATTGATTCTTGCACTAATTTCTAAACTTGTAAGTGCAATGAATCTGCAGTTCCACTTGGAAAGATAACCATTTGAAGTTGAATAAGAATGATATCACACTCTCACCTGCAAAATTGAAAATGTCTAATAAAGTGGATTCCTATGTCTGAACTTCAGTTTTAGAGCACAGCTGTAGATGCAGGACTGATGCCATCTGGTGTGATTCCACAGAATAAGAATATGGCAGGGAGAAAATTTACCCAGAGTGTGCCATGCATTGGCTTTTCTTGGAATGAGAAGGTGCCAGGATTTGTTTTTGGTTCACATGTTTTTGGTTCACTTGGAAGTAGGAGAATAAAAAAATACAGTACCCTTGATTTAGTGCTTAACATTCCCTGTTTCCAATCTTGTCTAGTTTCAAAATAAGGGCAATAGATTTAATTTTTTTTTTAAATAATCAAACACATAATTCAGAATAGTAGGAAATGATTATTTTTCTAAGTTATACTTATTAATCTAGGGAGTTTTAGAATACTAAAAGTACCTATATAATGTCAGTACTTTAGAATACTAAGAGCTCTGGTGATGCGGTGGTTCCGCACTTGACTGCTAACCAAAGGTTGGTGGTGTGAACCTACCGGCTGCTCCACTGGACAAAAATATGGCAGTCTGCTTCTGTAAAGATTTTAGCGTTGGAAACCCTATGGGGCAATTTTACTCTGTCATATAGGGTTTCTATGATTTGGAATCAACTTGATGGCAGTGGGTTTATTTTTTAGTATATCCTTTAGAATATTAAAAGTATATTTCTGCAGAGCATCATAGTGTTTTAAAAAAGTTTTACAGCTACTGTGAGCTATTTGTACTTATTTAAGCTAAAACTTGAGCAACAATGACCTCAAGCATAGCAAGATTACGAGGATGGTGCAGGACCAGACAGTGTTTCGTTCTGTTGTACCCAGGGTAGCTGAGTCACAGCCTACTCGATGGCACCTGCCAACAATAACAACAAGCTAAAACTACAATAAAAACTTTAGGATTATTAAGCAATCACCTATAGGTGCCTGTGTCACATACACCAAAACAAACCCAAACTCACTGCCTTTGAGTCAATTCCTACTCATAGAGATCCCCCATTGAGTTTCCAAGGCTGTAAATCTTTAAAGAAGTGGATTACCTCATCTTCCTCTCATGTGGAGGAGCTGGTGGGTTCAAACCACTGACCTGATTAGCAGCCAAATGCCTTGCCCACTACACCACCAGAACTCATTGTGGCACATACAAGGAGATGTTAAAAACTGAGTTGTAGATCTTTGATGCAGATTTTGTTTGTTTGAACCAGTTAAGTAAATTTCTCAATTCTTTATTGCTTAATTTGTCTACATGAAATAAAGTTATAGATTAAATAGTGGCCTGATTAATTCTGTCAGTAAAGTCAGTCAGTCCTCAGGTTACTCAGGAATGAGATCTTTTCTAAGTGTGTCTTTAAGAATCTGTAGGCAAGTCAGGCCAGGTACATACGTTTCTGATTGAGCCTTATGAGGCCAGCAATTCAAACCCACCAGCCGCTCCATGGAGAAAGATGTGGCAGTCTGCTTCTGTAAAGATTTACTGCCTTGAAAACTCTATGGGCCATTTCTACTCTATTCTGTAGGGTTGCTATAAGTTGGAACTGATTTGACAGCAATGAGTTTGGTTTTTGGTTAGTGTGAGAAAAGGCTGGAAACCTTTTCAATGATTTAAAAGCTGAAAGAGCAGCAAGTGAAAGTGATTGTGATGCAGGATTTGTTGTGAGTAGAAGTTGCTTCTTTCAAAGTGAAGGTAAATTCACATAATATTAAAGGGCAAGTAGGACTTGTTCATAAGTCAGACATTTGTAACCTGGGGATTTCTTGTAGTTAGCATCTTGCCATACAGAATTTGGATAATCAGAAGAGGAGACCAATGTTTGGCAGAGTAATCAGAACATAATAAACACTTAGAAAAATAGCTTCCTGATGAATTAAGCAAAAAAGCACCTCTTGGTTTTTTTTATTTTCCTAAATAGCAACTACTTCACATAATGAGTGTGATCATTTCCTCCACTCTTTACTTGGCCTGTAGACATGAGTGGGTTCAAGCTAAAGTCTTTTTACTCAATCTTTGTTTGTAAGTGTAACTCTTTGAAGTTACCTGGATTTACTGAACAGGTACTGGTCCTTCAGGTAAGATATTCTTTACTTTCAGATGGAAATCTTGCTTTCCTTTTGGGAATCAAGACGGATTGCTCTTTTGATAATATAGCAGGAAGTGACTTGACTGAACCATGGCTTAAACAAATTAGGATTTTCATTTTTTCTCATGTAACAAGGAAGTTGGGGTAGGCCACATTGATTCAGCAGCTCACAGATGTCGGGGAAGAGATGGCTGCTGAGGTTCTCCTGGCTTTTCCCTGTAGGTCCCAAGATGGTTGCTGCAGCTTCAGGCACAGAGGAGGAAGCCTAAAGAGAAAAGAAGGTGTACCAGTTGAGTCTGCTTCTTCTTAATGAACTTTCTCAGCAATCCAACTATTCTTGCTTATATCTCATTGGTCAAAACTATATCACTGAGTACTGCTATCTGCAGGGTTACCTGAGAAATGTAGTTTCATAAAGCTGAACATATAACTGCCATCAACAGAAACTGGAGCTCTCTTGGTAAGGAAGAAGATGGGAATGGATACTGAGTGGACAACCAGCATCTATGCTATGTACAAAATTCAGCTATAAAGGAGCAAAATGTCTGAAACAGATAAAAAATGGTAGCTCCTTCAAACTGGTAAAACTCCAGGCAACACAGGTCAGCTCTGAGATAGTGAGCTGAGTAAAGACATGCTAGGTTTTCTTACAAAATGTTTGACAGGACTGACTTTCTCTCTGTCATTATATTTGCCCTATATCAAGATGTCTTAAAGGAGAACCCTTGGACCTGCATACTTTCTTGGTGGACATAACCTCTTTAGATTGGTGGAGGTTTGGTGTAGGGTAAAGAATATTCCTTGCTACTTTCTCACCTGTATCATCTCTTTCCTTCCTAATTTTCCTGTCAGATTTTTGATGGAGTCCAAGTTTGTTTATTTTACCCCATGAAAAATTATTCCCTTTCATGCACAGGGGTGGGTAATCTATGCAAAGAAAGGCCACCTTACTTCCTTCTGTGACTCCACCACTGATCCAGGAATATCCTGGGGAGAAGATTTGCCTCTCAATGTTAATTCCTTAAGCAGCCTACATGCTGCCTAAGCAAAGGGAGAAGAAACACTTCCCACATCCAGGGCTGTCCAAAAGAACTTTCTGTGATGACAAAATGTTCTATATCTGCATTGCTTAATATGGTAGCCACTAGCCTCATGTGGCTAGTGAACACTTGAAATGTGCCTAATGTGACTGAGAAAGTAAAATTTTAATTTAACTAAATTTACACAGACACATGGGGTTAATGGTTACTATGTTGGACAGCACAGTACACATCCTTTACTTTCATGTGTTTTAGACCTACCTGGGCAAAGTTTGGTCCAGCCATGTACTTGGTGTGCCCTGGTCTTCACTGTTCCACCTTGCCATCACACCCATCCCACAGAGAAAAAGGAGATATGGTATTCTGGGAATAAATTCAAGATGTTCACTTGACATCTATGGATTGCTCATATTCCTGTGGTATATGAAATGATTTCCTGAGAATAGATAGGTCCTGTGATTGGTTTTAGTAGCAATGGAAAAATGGTGATGCTGGTCCATTTAACCTCCTAATGAACACCACCTATTCCAAGTCAGAGATTTAGCTGAGATTATGCTGTTCTATTGTGCAAATCATTATTATTTTATTTTTGTGAATAAATATTGTGGCTTATAAATTTTTATTTTGTGTATGTTTTTCAAAATACTTAGTGGTTTGTATTTTTCAAAAGGCTGTAAAATAAAAAAAAATGTGTGTAGCTCAATTATTTTGTGATGTTTTTTGTTGAATTATTATTACTCATACTTTGTTAAACATTAATTACAATAAGATTAATGGATAGAAGGAAATATTTACTTTCATATCTGATTTTCTTTTCATTAACTCATTGCCTAGTTCAACCCGACTTATAGCGACCCCTCCTTGGGTTTCCAAGGTAGTGTCACTATGGAAGTCTATTATTGCCCAACCTTCCTTTCCTTCCGAGGAGTTGGTGTTGGGATTGAACCTCCAGCCTTCTGGTTAACAGTCAAATGTCTTAGGCAATATGCTCATATGCCAATTATCAGCATCTTTTTAAAATATTAAATGATTCTTCCATTGTATTCAGAGTTTGAGTAAAGTGTAAGAGTTGGGATGGTGCTAGACTATTTCTTTTTGTAGATGTATGGTTGGTTTGCCCCACTGAGTGCAGCTTGGATTTGTTTCTCCACAAGTACTCTGTATTGGCTTGTTTGTCTTTTATTACTTATTATTGAGTTATAGAAATTCTTGATACATCCTAGATACTGTTACTTTATTGGATGTATGCTTGGTGAATATTTTCTCCCAGTTTGTGCCTTTAAAAGAGCAGTTTTAAATTTTAAAGTCTAATCTATTCATTTTTAAAAATTTTATGTTTATGGCTTTTTGTGTTCTCTAAGAGATTTTGCCCACCCCCAGGTCATCAAGATATTATCTCATGCTTTCTTGTAGACTAGAATCTTTATGGTTTTAACTTTTGCTAGGTCTGTTATCTAGCTAAAGGTCCCTGGATGGTGCAAGCAGTTTGTAATCCGCTGTGTGTTAGACTGGGTTCTCTAGAGAAATAAAACCAGGAAAGCTTATATATATAGAGAGAGAAATTTATCTTAGGAAAATGGCTCACACACTTATAGAAGCTGGCAAGTCCAAAGTTCTTGGATCAAACATCAAGCT